GTTTCCCCGATGTAAGACTGATCACCCTCCTGACACTGAAAGTCCAACATTTTACTGACCACATCAACTCTGTGGATAAATACATCAAGTTCACGCGAGAAGATGTAAAAAATGGCAGGTTGGCTTTCTTGGACTGTGAGGTCTCAGTCTCTGATAGAGGACATTTGCAAACTGAGGTGTACCGCAAACCCACCCACACAGACCAGTATTTGCAGTTTGACTCCCATCACCCTTTGGAGCACAAGTTAGGAGTCATCAGGACTCTGTACCACAGATCAGCAGCAACATGATGTGATTTTTCACAGTGATTATTCTGGTTAGAGATTCATGAGTCTAACAGCCTCAGGGTAGAAGCTGTTCCTCAGTCTAGTGGTTCTACACTTAATGCTCCTTAACCTCCTTCCTGAGGGGAGCGGGGCAAAAAGTGTGTGTGCTGGGTGAGTGGAGTCCTTCATGATGCAGGTGGCCCTCGTCCTGCATCTGGAGGTGTAGATGTCTGTGATGGTGGGGAGGCTGACTCCAACATCTTCTGTGCAGCCTTCACCACTCTCTGCAAAGCTTTTCTTTCTGCAGAAACTTGTGTAGCCAATTAATTTTATGTGATTTAGTTTATCATGTATAAAAATTGAACTTCTTCAAAGTCCTACTAGCTTAAGGGTGCATTCACACCAGCCCTGTTAGTCCGCTTTAATCGAACTCTAGCTCGTTTTCCTTGAAAGTCCGGTTCGTTTGGGAAGGTGTGAACGCGCCATCGAACTCTGTCACGGAACAAAAAGGCGAACTCTGGCCCGGGCTAAAACCTAGGTCTCAGTCTCGTAGAAGCGAACTCCAGCGCGGTTCCAGTACAGTGTGAATGTAAACAGACCGAGACCCGCTCCACAAGTGGAGTACAGTGCAGGACAAACAAACACACATTTCTCTTAGCTCATATGGAGCCGTCAGCTGCCTTGTGTGATAAACAATATTCTCCATGGTCTTCTTGCCTCATCTTCTGCTCATGCTGAGTCCATTTAAAAAAATAACAAAACAGAACTCGTATAACTGCTAAAACTTGACGTCACTCCCTTTTTGTTTTTTTTTCCAGAAGAAGAAGAAGAAGACGTGTCTTCAGAGGTTTTTATGTCGTTTCTTTCAGTAGTTCTTGGTGCAGCGCCCCCACAGGCGAGCGAGGGAACAGGTTGGTTCAACAGGTTGACTCGACTGCACAGTGCAGTGTGAACGCAAACGCACCAGCTCAAATGTAACAAAAGCTCATGAATATTGGTCCCGAAATGAACCGAGTCTACCGGACTATCTGGTGTGAAAACAACCTTAAAAAACACCCCTGTAGTGAACATGTCGGGTCGCTTTGCCTTATACACTCAAACAATGGGGCTTCTGGCTCTTCTTCATGAAGTGCAGAAACACAGTAGGAACCAAACTAAAACATTGGAGGAGGGGGCGTACCAAAGAGACCATCTTATCACAAGCAAAACTGGTTTGTTCCACATTGGAGTAAGCTGTTGGGGGAAGAATCAGTTTTTGGGATGATTGTTTCCTCTGGTATCGGATGCTGTGCAGCTGGAAGGATTTTTACTGAAACTTTTTTAGTTTTGGACATTTGTTATGATGCGTAACCATGGCAACAAGGCAGTTTTCTACAACCAACAGCAGCTGATTAACATCTCAAAAGCTCAAATAATATCTCAACTACAGCCCCAAATCTCAAATGAGTTGAAAGGATATTCTGTGGATGCATTCTCATCTACCTGCCAGCTGTGCTCGAGTGCCTGACCACTGAGATCCTGGAACTAGCAGAAAACACGGCTCATGACAGCAGAAGGACAGGATCGTCCCTCGGCACCTACAGTTGGATGTCCGCAGTGGCGAGGAGCTCGGCAGACTGCTGGGAGGCGTGGCCATCACTCTGGGAGGAGTTCTACTCGACATTCAGGCGGTCCTACAGCCTGGGGGAACTGAGAGGCCAGCCGAGTCTGGGTGGACGGATCGGACGGCATCTGCAGCCAGTTTCTTAGGATCCACTGTGGGATGGACCTTTACAAGAGATCCTTCCTGTCTACAGCCATCAGCATCTATAACATCTCTTAATGAAATGAGGATAATGAGTTACAGCAACAAATAATTTCACTTTGGGATTAATAAAGTATTTTTGAATTTTTAATTTAGTTAATTAATTTTATCTGCTAGAAGCCTGGGACAGTACCACTGATGTACCTTTCATTCTGAATGCGTACAGTACCAGATAACGCCAGCATGGACCAGGTCAGTGAGCGTGATGAGTTGAAGTCACGCAGCTTATTCCAAAAATAAATCAGTGCTCAGGAGTGTGACTCGTGCACGTGTCCTGTTTCTGCTGCGTACTCTGTACCAACAGATGACAATCCTGTGAAAATGAGTCGCCCCATGTTTTTCCTGCAGAGCACAACACCAGACAATTAAATTATGTGGACGACAAGGACAAGGCCGGACCTGAGAGTATGAGGATACGTTTAGCAGATTTTACAGCAACACCAACAAAGGTCGGTTCTCAAGAAGCAACAAAGATGTCCTGCCTGTCCTCAATCAGCTGGGATGTGTGCCAAGATGGAACAATGATAAGCCAGCCGTTACCAGATGTTACCATTGTTCTGAGGACAAACACAGAGCAGTTTTATGGACAATTATTAAGACTTGTCTTCTTCACGGATCTGAGCAGGAACTGAAGACTCGGAACAGGTCGATCTTTTTACAGCTCTGGTTGTACCCAGGCTCAGACTGTCCTGAGCATGTGAAACTAATTATTCAGAGAAACAAAGAAAAATATGAAGGAAGCTCCGATATTTGGAAAACTTTCAACTAAACGGAGACGCCTAATGGATGAGTGGACTCCGCCTACTTTTAGCTTCGAAGCAGCTTTTAGAAAGACTTTACTACTTTTAACCTTCAGCTAACATTTTTCTACTTTAACATTTCTGTTCTTGATTTGCTGCTTTTAGCTGTCTGCTTAGTTTCAGCTAAAATATCTGATAACACCCACTTTGTTACAGGGAACGTGGTTTATCTAGTCCTATTAGTTTTTATTATTTTTTAATTGAAATGTGACTAACCTGTTGATTCGGATCCGTGGACTCGTTAACCTTCTGTACGGGATGTTTGTTGTCGAGTCAGCGTTTCTTCTCGTTCGTTTGGCATTTTTAATCCTGATACAAAGAAAACATGCAGATCTTTGAAACCAAGGTTTGATCCTGTCTTTATTTTTTACAATGATGCCAAAAGTACCAAAGCCTGTCCCGTGAGAGAAATGTGACGGTGGCTGAATTATCTGGCCTCCTTTATTTTTTCTTTTCTTTCATTCAACCTTTATTTATACGAGTTAGTCCCATTGAGCCTCTGGACTCATTTACAAGAGAGACCTGATTGTTATATATTATAACATTTTATAGAGACGCACCTAAACTGCTCTGCATTTAACCCATCCCAGCTGAGATACACCCAGGCGGAGCAGTGGGCAGCTATATAAGCGCCTGGGGGGCAAGGGCACCACATGTGGGCATGGTGGGGAGTTGAACGTGTGACTTTCTGGTCCCAAGTCGGCTGCCCTACCTCTACACCACAGCTGCCCCAGCAGGTGGTTACAGTAAAACAATAAACTCCTCCAGCTCTCGGGTCACAGAGGTTTCAGGTCCAGGAGGGAAGCTCTGTGGTGTTCCCAGGCTGGAGAGGATTCATGATCCTAAAGAGACTTTTGGATCTGACCCAGACTCTTCTTCATCTGGGACAAGCCCAGAAAACCTCCAGAAGTGTGAACCACCTCAGTTGACTCCTTTCAGTGAGGAGGCGCAGCGGCTCCCCTCAGAGATCCTCCGATCTCTAAGGCTGGAGGGAGTTCATTTCAGCTGCTTGAGTCCAGGATCTGGTTCTGTCAGTCCTGATCTAAACCTCGTTACCGCAGGAGAGGGTCTGGACATAGACGGACCAGGAAATCCAGAGCTTGGCTTCTTAACTCATATCCCTCACCGTGATAGACCAGAGCAACATCCTCAGTACTGACAACCTCACCTTCCTCGGCCTGATCTGGAGAGGGCCGTCCACACATTTATTACATCGTGTTTGGATTATTGTAATTCTTTGTTTTGGGGGTTGGACCAGAGCTCCCTGCAGCGATCGCAGAGCGTCCAAAACGTTGCAGCTCGTCTGTTGACAAACACGGAGGCACAAATCTAGTACCCCCGTTTTACGCTCCCTTCATGTCTGTCTAAAGTTTTGTTGATTGTTTTTAAGTGTTTAAGCTCCATGGGCCCGTCTTATCGAAGCGAGCTGCTGCAGCCCTACAAACAGGATCAGAGACCGCAGGAACAGACCGGGCAGGATTCAATCTGTGCCGATGGGTTCGATGGTTCTGCACGGTCCGGACCGCCTTTAAAAGTGTCCCCGGCACAAACGGATCCTGGATTTTCAGGAATTGTCTCGAAACGTGCTTTCTGACACGTCTGTGGCTGAATTCATGTTGCTTCAAGCAACTGAAGGAGGGGGACCACCCCGCCAGGGACCCGTGTCCCGGAGGAGGATCAAACGTCTCCCGGGGGAGGACTCGCAGCAGAACTTGGCAGACGAGGCTTCCTGAGGGCGTGTTCCTGCTGACACATCATGTTCATCTTCACATGTTCAGGCAGTCGGGCTGCTCCGACAGGTGAGTACGGTCACTGCTTTGGTTTTTAATAATAATGTAATCTCTGTATGTTTCCATACAATGGCAAAATTAGTCTCTGCATTTAACCCATCCACCACCAGGTGGTGCAGTGGGCAGCTATTGAAGGCGCCCGGGGGGCATTTTGGGGATGAGGTGTGCTGCCCAGCGACACCACGGGGTTTGCAGTGACCGGGGATCAAACCTTAAAATTACAGTGAAACGTTGCATCGTTTATTATTTTACTGAAACCACTGGATGTTTTTGAGGATGGGAAAAGGCTGAAGGTAAAATAAAGTTGGTCTTTCTGTCGTTGTGTCTTCAGACGAGCAGCATGTCCGTCACCAGCTACGAGCTGTCGGAGGAGCACCTTTGGTGCTGCATTTGTCTGGACGTCTTCACGGAGCCCGTCACGCTGCCGTGTGGACACAACTTCTGCAGAAACTGCATCGTGCAGCATTTGAAGACAAACTCCCAGCGGCAGTGCCCCATGTGTAAAGAGCCGGTGGACAAGAAGCAGAAACTGGGAGTGAACACGTTCATATCTGAGCTGGCCGTCCAGCACCGGCAGTCAGCTGGAAGGAGATCCTCCATCTGCTCACAGCAGCACGTTGTGACACCAAAACCTTCTGATGGTCCTCCTGTTGGACCCAAGCAGACGTCTCTAAAGCCCCGTCTGTTGGTGGCGTTCGGCCTGACGTGTCTGATCTTGTTCTTTGGAGCTAATGTCCGTTTTCATCAAATGTTGTCCAGCTGCAACATTCTCCTTGGCTCTGTGGAGAAGTCATCTGAAAGCGTGTGCGCCGAGCACGACGAACCTCTGGAGCTCTACTGCAAGAACGAAGAAAGGCTCGTCTGTCAGAGCTGCAGGGCTTCGAGCCACAGAAACCACTGGGTCGTTCCCGTGGGAGACGTTTACGAAGAGAAGAAGGCAGACCTCAGGAAAATGGAGGCCGGGATCCAGCAGGTGATCTGGCAGCGGAGGCTGAAGATTCAGGAGCTCCGACGCTCGGTGAAGCTCATCAAGGAGTCTGCAGACCAAGAGATGGCAGATGGCATTCAGATCTTCACCTCCCTGATCCAGAACTTGGAAGGAGCCCAGACGGAGCTCATTGAGATGATCGAAGAGAAGCAGAAAGCTGCTGAGAAACAGGCCCAAAGTGTCATCTCTGAGCTGGAGCAGGAGGTCTCACAGCTGACCAGGAGGCGCGTTCAGGTGGAGCAACTTTCCCGCTCCAAAGACCCAGTCCTCCTCCTGCAGAGCCTCCCGGTCCTGAACGCTGGCTCTCCATATCCAGACCGGACGCAGGTGAGCGTTTGTCTGGTGGCGTACGAAGGTCTGACCAGGACGGCGATGGTCAGAGCCATGAATCATCTGATGGAGACGGTCCGAGACGCCATGAAGAAGCTGCAGGACTCTGAGATGAAGAACATCCCTCAGTTTGCAGTCAGCGTGACTCTGGACCCCGAGACTGCACATCCCGCCCTCGTCCTGTCCGATGATGGTAAACGGGTCCACTGCGGAGACGGACCCAAGAAACTACCGTACAGCTCGAGAAGGTTCGAAACGGCTCTTCATGTCCTGGGAAAGCAGGGGTTCTCCTGCGGGAGGTTCTACTACGACGTCCAGGTCCGAGGAAAAACTGCGTGGACTCTCGGAGTTGCCAGGGAATCCGTCAACAAGAAGGTAGACCTGAACCTAAACCCAGAGACCGGCTTCTGGGCCGTACGGCTTCAGAACAGGAAGGAGTTTGTCGCTCTGGATCAAAGTCCCGTCCCTCTGTCTGTGAACGACGACGTCCAGAAGGTGCGAGTGTCCGTGGATTACGAGGAGGGTCAGGTTTTGTTTTACGACGTCGACGCTGCAGTTCTCCTTCACTCGTTTACCGGCTGCTCCTTTACGGAGAAGCTCTACCCGTTCTTCAGTCCTGGTCCGAGTGACGGTGGACGAAACTCCGCCCCTCTGATCATCACCTCACTTAACCGGCGCAGATAAAACTGAACTTTGACTTTTTATCTGGTTCACCTTTTGCCTCCCGTCACAAGGATAACTTGAAAAACAAGTACTGACTTCCATTTTGGTGTGTGGCTGCATCAAGGTGTAAGAAAGGTCAAGTCAAAATCCAAGATGGCCGTCACCGTTTATGTATGTAAACCAACCACCCAGTCAGCTGAGAAAACTGCTTTTTAGTTTTTATGTTGCTTAAAAGTTCAGCTTCCTCAAATCACTGGGGTTCCCAACGATTAATCTATGGGGGCCAAGGCCACCATTGGCCCCCCTCTGACTCCACACCTGGTGGTAGAATAAATTTCTCCGTCACTCTGCGCCGCCTCGGAACAAAAAAAAACCTCCCTCTGTCCACTTGAATGTCTTGCATCAAAAACATTTAGGTTTACTTCATTGTCCGTTCAAAACACTCATCTAGAAAACTACAAACATTCACTGTTCAAATCCCTCAGACAGGAAAATCATCTGTTATTTATTAAAAGATTAGTAAACAAACAGTGTAAAGATTTATTATCCAGTTTGTAAAGAAACGTTTGTCATTTATCGAGCCGAAGACGTTCGGGCGAAGCTTCGTAGATGTTTTTATTGAAACATGTCGGTAGAAATACTGAAAATATTTTACTTTAATGTTTAACTAAAGGCTCTTTGTTTGTTTTTGTTGACCCTGTGGTAACTTCAGTGTGTTGTTGTTTGTTTTTGTTGCTGTTCTGTGTTTACAAGCTACTTTTTAATGTTTTTGTTTGTGTTTTTGGACAGTCTTCAAATCTGTGTGATTTTTTTTTTAATAAACTTTTGAAACAATCGGTCCGTCTTGTGACGTTTGTTTTTTATTTTGCACAAAGTTCAAAACATTTAGTCGTTCATATTGTTCTTTTCTAACTCCTTTATTTTACGTTTTGTCTCATTTGTTGTTCCTCTCGTCTATCTTGTCTTTTTTTTTTTGTTGTTTATCCTGTTTTTCTGCTTTTGGCGTATTCGTGTCTCCGTTTGGATGTTTTCCATTTTTAATAAGTTATTTATCTCAGTTGTTCTGCGTTGCTTTGTCTTAATTTTGTATCATTTTATTTAATATTTATTTTTTACACATATAAACATTTACATGCACTTTTCAAATGGGATAGCCACATTTTGTTTAAACACCTCGATGCTAAAGAGAACGGGCACCACTTTACAATAAGGCTCCCCTTATACATGGTTAATAGTTTACATTATTAATTCCTCTATAAACACTTTATAAATCAGTAATAACTGTTTATTATGCATTAATTAAGGGCAACAGAGACAAAACTGACCAGTTTCTTGCCAAATCTGTTCACCTATATGTAATAAGTTGAATGCAGTGATAAAGTACAATATTATATGCTAAAAAAATGTTTACAAATGTTTATTGTGTTTACAAGGTATAAACTTAGTCCGAAATGTTTAATATAACAACTCTAGATAGGTGAACAGATTTGGCTCAATATTTGGCAAGAAACTGATCCGTTTTGTCTCTGTCACTCTTAATTAGTGCATAATAAACAGTTATTAACGATTTATAAAGTGTTTATAGACGAATTAACGTATCTATAAACTGTTTATTAGCCATCTATAAGTGGGGCCTCACTGTAAAGTGGTACTGAAAACAACAAGAGCTGAAGGTGGGCTCGGCCCGCTGGATTACGGTCATTTGTGAGACGGAGATGATCATCGGCTGCTTTTAGGCAGATCGTGGAAAGTTGTTCTGGTCCAGGTGAAGTTCTCTTTCTGCTTTTGTTGGTTTCCTGTTGAGCAACAGAAACTTGGCCCCACAGAGGCGGACCTGTGTTCACGGTGCTGGGACCTGCACTGTGATCTCCTGGCGTCTTTATTCATTTACAGGCGAGCTGTATATCTGCGTGGAGACCGGTGAGTCCGGTTTTTAAGTGAATCAGCACATTTTCCTGCCGTTTCTTTTAAAAACCGGATGACTGGAGATGAAACCGCCTTGCGACGTTCTTTGTGATCTGCAGAGGCGACGAACGACGTTCAGACTGAAAGAACCAGATGTGCGTGGGCTTGACAGGCGGATCACTGCAGATACTGTTCCGGTCCATTGTGGTGAAACTGTTCAGCCGTGGTGTCTGATATGGACGATGTAGGCACGAGTGTCCACCCCCTTAAAAATACAAAGCATTATTCCATACAGCCTGCCTGACCTACGTATTGGTCTCCTATAGTCCACTTGAGAGGGGGGGGGGGGGGGGGTGTCCTCCACCAGGTGCAGGGCGTGTAGCTTCTGCTGAGGTCTGACACAGGTTGTGTGGGGGGGGTCATAAATATTTTGTGCTTGTAAATCAGTTTTATAACCTTGTTAAATAAATGTGTGATTTGTAACAAATAATAATTACATGTTTATCTTTTTGTGAAGGTCTGTTTAAAGATACAAATAAAAAAACAACGTGTGAAACTCGAGTTTCAACTGTTGTGAATTCTGACGCCCAGGACTCCAAAGAGCCTAGGACCGCCCCTGTCTCTGTTTACCGGTCGGTCTTCGTTCCTATCCTCACCTATGACCACAAACTTTGAACAGAGACTGAAAGAACCAGATCCTGGATCCAGGAGGTCTAAATGAGTTTCTCAGTTTGAACGTGTGAAGAATGTTCAAACTGGGACTCCACCAGTTTGAACGTGTGAAGAATGTTCAAACTGGGACTCCACCAGTTTATAATGTTCAGGGAAAAGTTTCCAAAAGTTGCAAAAAGTCAAGAACAAATGGCATTTTTAAATAAATTAATTTATTTGCTTTTTTAATTCTTCTTTCGGTTTTTTCCTCTTCAGGGGGTCACCACAGTGAGTCCTCCTCCTCCACCTCACTCTGTCCTCACTCCAACTACCTTCATGTCCTCTCTAACTGCATCCATATATCTCCTCTTTGTCTTTTTCCTGCAGCTGCATTTCTAACATCCTTCTATCAATATACCCACTGTCCCTCTTCTGGACACGTCCAAATCACTGTCCCTCCTCTGGACACGTCCAAACCACTGTCCCTCCTCTGGA